CTAGAAAAATTTGCTCTCCAGGAAGCTAAAAATGCTAGATGGAAATGAACCCTGAAAGGGAGGGATTAAAGAATAGAATCGTACCACCTCCAGTGTTGTTTTTTCATTGATGTCTTCATGTCACTTTTAAAACTGGTGTATTTTTAGTGGGAGTATTACTTCTGAGTTGCTCAAGGTGGATTTCCTTGTGCTAGTTTTTTCAGTAGTTGATTTAATTGCTATTGTGCAAGTCAGACTGAAAACCGATTTAAGATGGTAGCCTAACTTTAGTAAAGCTTGCCGGGGCAACCTGCGTTGTATTTTCATTCAGAATGAGTGGAAATGTTGAAACCTTCACAGCAAAGTCTTTTTGAAACATAATTGTGCAGGGCATGATGGGACAGCAATTCCCACCTGCTTTTCTATTTTATCTTTTATCTACTTTTATTAAAAAAATAAATCATATGCAGGCAGTCTTCACCAGGGCTTAAAATGAGTTATGTCTGAACTCTTATGAATCGTAAATAGGTAAGTTGTATGCACTGTGCATGTTTGTAAAACTAAAAGTTGAAACTGTAGAGCTACAAGCCTGCTATTTCAGACTAGATCAGGGAGTGGCTTTCCTAATGCCATTGCCAGTGTTATTTATGGTATTTTTTGCTTACTTAAGGCTTATGTTTTACCGAGTCAATGGCTTTCTACTTTTTCAAGCTGGAAGTGCTGAAATCTCCGCAGAATAGAAACAGTGTTTGGATAAATAATCTAGGATATGACTTTACAACTGTCTGTTAAGCTGTTCCAAGTCCATGCTGCCAACAAGAGTTCTGCTTCTGAAAATGTGTTCCTGCTTTCTCCCTTGTACTAGTGTTTGTATAGTAAGTCAGATCTGGGAATTAAATCAGCTGATTTTTTTTTTTTCTCTGATTCTGTTTCCAGCTGCATTGGTTCACAGGCTTGAGTTGATTGTGTAGCCACGTGTCCTAATGTCAGGATTGGGGAAGAAGAAGAAATACCAGGCGCTTTTGCGAGTAATGGGACTTGCTATTTCAGCAGCAACACAAACTTAAACTGGCTTATGTCACAGTTTAAAAAGAAAAAAATAATCCTCAGTCAAATTCCATTTTACAGTTCATACTCTGTAGTGGGATTAAACTCTGGAAATTCTTTTTTAACTGAAGAGACTAAAAATTACTAAATGCTACCAGTACTTCAAATACTGTCAGTGTGCTGTCATAATTGCCCGAGTTTTCCGAGTCACTTTGGTTTTGTTTTCATTCATGGAGTTAAACTCACTGAAGTGCATGTGATTCAGGCATGGAAGGGTTGGAAAGAAGAGGAGTTAAAGGAAAAAAAGAGAGAGTCTCATCCTTTGAATTAGTTAATTGTGATTACTTGGTATGTGTGTGATGAAAAGCTGTTTAATATGGAAGACAGGGGTTTTGTTCATTTTTTTTTTATCATGGTAACTTGAATGGTATAAAGACTCCTCAGTTTATAGATCTACTTAGAAGGTACTTGACAGATATATTTTAAAGAACGCTGATTTTATTACTTATTTTTGGAAGAAGGTCTAAGGAAGCAGTTTGAGAAGGTTAGAAGCAATCTGATAGCTCGATGCCACCAAAAGGGTAGGTCGTTCTCTGTGTTCCTCCTTCATCAGCTGGCACTTGATCTGACTTCTTGGGGGGCTGATTCAGTACCCTAAGCTGTCAGAAAATCGTTTGCTTTTTGCTGATGGACTGGTATCCTGCCAGCTGGGTACACTGAGTGAGCCCACAGGGTCAGGGCGAGTGGCAGGGGTGGTGGGAGGAAGCTGAGCTTCCATGCTCGTGGTCTGTTAGCTTGGTTTTTAAAAACACGTTCTTGTCTTAATTTTGGTGGAGTTTGGAAACTGTTGTGGAAAGGGATCCTTCTGCTTGCCCTCCGAGGGGATTTGCAGCCTGCTCCCCCGAAGCGATCTGATCTGGTCGTTGTGTGCTTCAGGAGGAAGAGAAGCAAAAGCTGTTATTTTTCTATTTGATGGATTGCTACGTTCCGTAGCGGAATGGTTGAAGAAATGGGAAGTGAGCACAGTTATACCTTGAATAAATCTGGCTGCAGATTTGATAATGTGTAATGTGAGGCTGCACCTTTCTTAGGAAAACAAATGGAAATACGTAAGTTTATAGGCATTCGGAATTTAAAAAATACTGGTAATTTTAACTATATCTTATATTATTGAGTAACTGAAATCTGTAACTTTTATTCCCATGAGGAAAACCTGAATCTCAGAAGTGCAAAGAACACGTAGTCCTCACATACTTTACAGCTGCTTCTGTCCATGGAAACCTTTTCTGTCTGCTGCCCCAAAGTAGTCCTGCTGTTGCGACATTCCCTGCCTGTAGAATAGATGGCTGTAATGAATCTTTATGAATGTGCTTAGAGGTGTTAAAAGTACAATCCCTGCAGTATTACATGTTGGTTATAATATGCTTCAAGTATGGAAAGAGTAATTTGGAAACCACAAGCCTGGACTTCAGGGTTTCCACCTGAATTCCAGTAATACCTGATGAAGAGGAAGAACTGTTGGTAAAGATCAAGGGATCTGGTGGTTTTTCAAATCTACACTTCACAAACACAAGGTTAGAAAAAAAAAATGGTTATTCAGTAGTGAACACCAGTCTTGATCTGCTTACCAGCAGTGTTTGAATATAGGGAGGAAGGAGGAGGTTGTTTTTTCTCTCTTCTTCCACGTGTCATGACAGGAGCCTACTTTGACATTTAAAATAACCTTAAAATTGATAAAGTGGAAGAGCAAAAAGTAGAAAAAGAAAGAAAAGGTGTTAAGAGCAATAAAACCAGGTAGTAGCTTGTGTGAACCCTCAATGAGTGTCGGTGTAGTGGGGTGTAAACTAAGTTTGGGGTGCTGCAGGTTCCTGGCGTTTGAAATTTTGGGTGGGGAGGGTAACAACTTAGAAATTTTAGGGGTTATTACCAGTCTTAGTAATATCCGGAGCAGGTGAGGTGCCATGAATTCCTTTGAGACTGCAAGTAATAAAAAGTGGTGTAATCCTGTAAAAGGTGGTAGGTTGAAGATAAAAGTTTTGAAGGAGGATGATCTAGAAACAAAATGTGGATGTTTAAAAACTGGAAAATGTAGTAAAGTCCAAAGGAGCTGGATGAAAATAAGTCAGCTGTTTAATTTTCTGATTTAGCTATACTTAAGTTGCCTTAAGTTTTTTTTTCCTTCCTACATTTCTTCTTGGTTTCTAGGTGTCCAGTTTCCACATCAATTTTAATGTAATATAGCAACGATCATCAAAAAAAATGTATCAAATAAAGACTTCAGTCATTTGCTTATGCTACTACCGTTTCTTTACTGATTTCTTCAAAGCCTATTGAATTCTAAAAAACTCTTAAAAACCAGTGTATGGGGTATGTTTATGGGCAAGATCCTCCCTGCTGCTGCCCTCCCATCGTGTGTTTCTTGTATCTTTTTTGGTATTAGACCTCCTGTATTTGGATGTGACTCTTTCTGTCCAGCCTGAATCTCTTAGGATTATGTTTTATGAATGGAATTATTTTTCCTCAAGTGAAGAACAGCCTTAGTTTTGGTTTTTATCCCTTCTTCAATCCTACTTTGTCTAACTCTTTTAAAAAGAGTCAAAGACTTCTTATGGCTAAATTAATACAGTAACTCAGAACTCATCTTCATAGATAGTTGTTTTTTTTTTGAAGGTAGTTGTGGGTTTAGGTTGAATCTGTTATTTGTAACTTAAATTAGTTCTGAGTATTTACACTGTCCTTTGCAGGGTTAGTGTGTGAGGTGGCTGCAGTTCAGATAAAACACTTGCCAGAGAAGAATATGGCCTTCATCAACTTTATTTCTGTTGCACTTGGTATTAATTGGAAATCTGCTTTATCCTGCAAGTTGTGTCCAGTCCTCCCAGTATTGTATGGTAGGCAGTTGTAAATGTAAAAAGTTGTAAAACTTTTAAGTTGTCTGGAAGTGGTTTAAGCACCATCAGCTTTTGATTTAGCAAATGAGTTTCTGAATGCTTAGTATGAATGGCCATTAAGCTGAATGTTCAGGTTTAAGAGATGTTATAAATAAAGTGATTTGAGAAAAATCTGGTCCTTCGGTGGTGTTAGTGAGCATTCTTGATCAGAATTGACAGGAAATTTAGAATCGTTTTGGGTTTAGGACAGAAATAGAATTCTGCTGCTGAATTTTAAATTTTCTCTAATGCCTTGAAGTGAGTGATACTTTCTAGTATGTTCAAGCCATGTGATGGAAGTTGAGTTACACTGATTAAAACAAAACACAAAAGTTGAAAATGCTAGTTAGGTTATGTCATTACCAGAGAAGATTACAAGTAAATAACAGAGTAGACGGGATGGTATTATTCCAGAACAGCATTTGAGTGTTTTGCACAGAATTGTATTTTCGGTCAGTGCAGGATTACGGTTTCCTTGGAAGCACGAGGCCTGCGTATGTAATCACTCTTGTGCAGGCAGGATAGGTGGGAGTGTGCTCCTCAACCTTCCAACTAGGCTTTCTGAACTGCAAGAACATCCCCAAAAGTAACCTAATTGTAAGTCACTGAAGGACCAACCGCGCTGTGCTTTGTGCACTCAAAAAGCACAGCAGTTATCGTGTCTGGCCGCGGTAGGGACCTCACTTAAGTCACTTCTTGTTGATTTTATCTGAGTATGTGGCTGATAGTGCAAAATATTGGGAGTTTCCTAATGCTGGAGTTCATTAGTAGATACTCAGTTGATCTGCTGTGCGTTTGCTGTTAAATATAGGCATAAATAGAAAATTCAGTTACTTAGTACTAAGTTAAACTGAATTGACTGAGTCTGTTTGTAAAATAAAAATAGTAGGGCTTTTGGTAGATTCAATTCTTGAACTGCATATATAGTAAAAGTCCACACAACATTTTTTTTTTTCTAGTTTCAGTTTTGGCACTAGATTTTATCCTGGAGTTTTTAAATATTCTTCATCCTGTTCTTTTTCTATTAAGGTTAATGTTGAAGAAGGAAAATGCGGAAGTCGCCATTTGACAAGTTTTATAAATGAGAATTATTTGAAGCTCAGGAATAAGTGAAGCTGAAATTTGAAAAAAAAGAAAGTGAATGCATGCTAATTATCAGACCAGAAGTCCCACTTGTAGAATATTGAGCAATTTGTGTGAAGTGGGGAAGATGAAAGAAGTCAGAATTTGAAACGGAAGAATGAAGAAAAGGAATAAAAATGAAGTTAAGATAAGAAGTAATCTGGAATCTGAAAGCACTACGCTAAGTAATTACTAGTCTGTTTATGTGTCCCTGTATATTTTGCTAAACATGCATGCATTATCTGTTTAATAGCAAAAGTATATGCAGGGTAAAGAAGTGTCTACCAGGGAAAAGAAAAAAAAAAAAAAACCACAACAACTTAAAAAAATCTAGGCAGTTCTAATGCCAACTGCCCGGACACATAGATATGAATTTTTACCATTTATTTCACTGGAGCTTGTTTACAGACATTAGGTGAACGAGAAATTGTGTACAAATTAGGCTTTCAATATCTGCGTGCAGGAATCCCGTTCTGCTTCCAGAAGCGGAAGTGCTCATGGGTCTGGCAAGTCGGGGAGGCACACCCCTGCAAGATCTCGATCTAAGGAGGATTCCAGGCGTTCCAGGTCAAAATCTAGATCCAGGTCTGAATCCAGGTGAGTTTACTTCTTTTACCTCTTCCTCCTCTTCACAAGTGAGATGATTATGTCAGAGGTGAACTGAAGCCCAGTTGAGCCCAGCTCTATTTCCGGAGATAACTGGTGATCTGTGGACATAGAATGCAAAGGGGCGCATGTTGTTTTGTGATTTGAAAAGCTAAACTATCATGTTAGATATTTTTGCAGCTTTTTCTAAGAGGTAGGCAGCTGCATAGGCTTCTCTCTCTACTGATGAAGTTTGGAGGTGGCCTGCCTTTTAAGTCTTAGATGATGGCTAGTTTCTGAGCATGAAGCAGTAGGAACTCGAGATCTTAGTTTCTCTGGGCATTAAAAGAAATACATGCATCAGCAGATTTTCCATTTTAGGTCACGCATTCATGTATTATGTTTTCTCCCTGGAAACAGTGATGTTTCTGAAGTAGTTAACAGTATATTTCGTGAAAGAGAAGCAGTAGAGATAAATGTGAATTTCGACAAGACGTTTGTCTGACCATTTAAATATATACATTAATTTAACTTGAAAAATAACAGACTGAAAAGCTTTTTCTTAAGAGTCTAGATAATTGAGTGCCGACTATGGAAATGAATGTGTTGATAGTTCCTTCACTCTCTTGTAAGCATTCAGGTTAAAAAAATGTAAGTTTCGGCAGTGAGGTTTCCAGTTGAGCTGTTTGTAATACACTTTTATATGTATAAGCAATGAGTTAGGCTTGCCAAAGCTTGGGGGTCAGGCTGGAGGCAGGATGAAAACATTACCAAATACTGTGTTTAGGTCTCCTTGCAAGATCAAAGTGAAGTTTGAAAAGCTTTTGTGAGAAGGAGGGACAGGAGAGGAATGGGATACTTAGGGACAGGAGAGGAATGGGCTTCTTTTTTTTTTTCTGTGTATTTCAGGCACAGTCACAAGTGTCAAATCATGCACTTGGCAATCCCTGTAGTGCAAGAACAAATATTATTAAAATGAGTAAATACTTTGGTAGAGTAGTATCACTTCATAGAGTATGAAATTGGAGTGACCTGTGGAGTTGTTAATAGTGAGAGATTCATAGAACAGCTCAGGAAGTCCAGCCCAAAATCCTGCTCAAGGCAGAGTCAGCTCTGGGCTCAGACCATGCTCACAGTTGGGTTTTGAAAAGTCAGAGGACGGAGACTGCACAACACCTTATAATTTTAAAATAACAAGCAAGTCAGGACCCAGCCCAGCATGTCCTTCTGCACCTTGATCCATAACGCCTGGGGATTCCATACACTTTAAAGCACCGTGTTTCTCACTTGCAGGTTCACCTTAATAAGATGTCAGAATGCAGTCACGTTGTATAAAATGCTGGAAGAAGCAAATACAAGATCTAGAATTTATGAGAAACCTGGCAAATCATTCACTCTTAAAAGAAATCACCCTTTTAAATAATACCCTGACAACTGACTCTTTACTTTTTGATGAACCAAAGTAGAAGCTTATGACTACCATGGCTTCCTGAGCATTTAACAGCTGTCTAGGAAGTGCTTATGGCTGGAATTACTGGAAGTATATTGCAGAGTTAGAGTGTGTTCACTGGGCAGAATTGTGTCAAGCCACATGCTTACAACCAGCATACTTAAATCTGTTTCCAGTGCTGTCACGCGTTTGGATGTGATCATGAGCAGGTCATCCAACTCTGGCTCTCACCAGAGAAATAACCTTGTGAGAACTTTCGTGTTTCTTGGCAGCTTCTTGTGCAAATGTATTTTTGAGTAACCAGCTTTATAAATTAAACTTCTGATTTGAGAACAAATCTGTGTCCTGGTGTATTTATCAATTGGAGTGTGGATATACTTGCTTTAAAAATCTGCTTTTATCGATGTTTTCAGCAGCAGCATTGTTATTTTTTTGACTGACAATGTGAAGTCTAAACAATTCTTAATGAAGGAATAGCATTTTCAGTTGCGGTGGCTTTGCAGCAAAGGAGAATAATGGCAGGGTGACATTTAAGGCAGCGATATAAGCAGAGCCTGTTTAAAATAAGCCTTATTCTCCCATAACGGGTTGCCTGGTTTAGGAGTGTCCAGCTCTTGTTCAGTGTAATGGGTGTGTTCTGGAACCTGGAACATCAGGTCTGTGTTTGCCTTCAGTTTTTTCCATGTCAGCAGTTGAAATGTGGCTGTATGCATGTGTTGAGCTTTTTTTTTTTAATTAGTATTTCTGTCTTTATTTTCCTTCCCACCTCAGGGAAGTTCTCTATTTATTTTTTTATTCTTTTTTGCTTTCTGTTACCAAAAATAATTTATCCTTTCAAAATATGTAGTTAGAAGCATTGTAATGGGACACGCTGAAGTAATTTCTGCTGGACATGTATGCATGTTTCGAGTTGAGGAAGACAGAACTTAGCTGGCTCACTTCTGACAAGGCTGAAGGCATTTTTTTAAGGAAGCTTCTTGAGTGTATATTGTGCAGTTGGGCTGTCTGGTGACACTCACCTAGTGAGAAATCCTGACTGGGAAGAAGCTGTTAAATGCTCAGGAGTGAAAATGGGTTCAGGTTAAGAGCTTCATTCATGGTGGTACCATGAAACGTGGTTGTGCAGTTGTGGTAGTGTATGGTCTCGGTCAGTACTTGCTACCTTGGCTTCCACAAGCTAGAGGAAGGGCATCTAAGACAAAAACAAGAGTCTGAAGATGAACAATTGATGAGCCTTTGACTATTAAACGGTTTATTGCACTTAATAGCCTTGCAATGATTTCCTTTGTAGTTATGTGGAATGCCAGGTTATTCCATGACTGCCATCAGCAGGCCCAGCTCAGGTGTAATAACCCAGTTTAAGTGCCTGCCCAGCTTTTCAGCTGTAATTGTGCTGAGAGGGCTGAGGGTGTAGTTGAAAATAGTCAAGTGTTTCAGGGCCTCATCTGCATGGACCTGGTGCTGTCAGAAAACATTTCTGGAACTGTTCTGAAGGGGCCTGGGCTGAAGTTAGTGAGCAGTTGCACCTTTGTCTAAATACACTTCAAGTGTGAAGGTGTAAACATTCACGAACAGCTCATGTTAAAGAACTGTTGCAATACCAGCAGGTGGATGAGCCTGATGCTGTGTCATTTCTTCAGTCCTGTTAAGCTCTGTTTCGGGCGCATTTGCCAGACTTCTGTGCTTGTAATTGTGCACTGTGTAAATAAAAAAAATAAATGGTGTTTGCTCTTCAGTGGCACTGAAAGCAGTGTTATTCTGAATGCTAGAACAGTCAGAAGTGTGCACCTCTGCAATCGTGCATGCTTTGTATGAAGCCATATTCACTATTCGACTATTTACTCCTACTACCTTTCTCTGTTAAGTCTTCAAAAGAAAGCAACCCCAGCTATTTTTACTGAAATGCTGTTATAAACACTGTGAATATTCTAAGCATATGCTGTGTCAAACCAAGATAGCCTTGTTAGAGAAGGTTAAAAGCTATTGGAGAATTAAAAGCTAACCGAAATGGAATTTGAGGTTCCTGTTCTGCAGTGGAAATGCTCTGAGAACATCTCCAGTAATCTAATTGTAAAGATTTAGTGCACAGTCCCTGAGTGTAGTGACTAAACTGGTTATAGCTGAATCACCTGCTACTACAGGTTTTTAGAAAATGATTATTTGGACTTCTTGTTTGTGATTATCTGATGTATTTTTGAAGCATTTTGGAAAAAAAAAAAAGGCAAAAAAATCCCTCCCAACGTAACGCTGTACCTCTTTCTTTTTCTCTCAGATCTAGATCAAGGAGGAGTTCCCGTAGACACTACACACGATCACGCTCTCGTTCCCGCTCTCACAGGAGATCCAGAAGTAGGTCCTACAGTCGGGATTATCGGCGCCGACACAGTCACAGCCATTCACCCATGTCTACTCGCAGACGTCATATTGGAAACAGGGTAGGTCTGTTGTGGAAGTAGCTGACTCACACATAGTCCTGAATGCAGCTTGAAATCACCGAATTAATTAATTGGGGTTTTCCAGAAAAACGTTCTGCTTCCCACTCGGGTCTAGTTAAAAGATAATTTGTCGTGGTTAATTGCCATTTGGCTCTCGATAAGCCATGGATCTCCCTAAGTTTGCTTAGGTTTGTGGGATGGGGGGGGGTCTCATTTGTTTGTCTGTTTGCTTTTTTAACAGATGCCTTTAGAAGTGCTACCAGCACAGGCTGTTGTCGGTGTACCCAGTATAATAAATGAGCAAATATATGCAGGGAAGGGTGGAGGTGGAATTAGGGGGGAGAAATTGTGCTTTTCTTGATTGGAAAGCCTGGAAAACGAAAACATTTAATGCTGTCTTTATTAAATGAGCATGCAAACCAGCTAGCTGTTGTCTGCTTTACAGGCTCGGGTGGCGAAGCGCGGTGTGGTTCATGCTAAAATAGAGGGGAAAAGTGATAACTTTAACACAAATGTGATCCAGGCTTCTGTGTGTGTATTTATCTCTCCACATTGAACAGCCATCAGCCTTTGGAGGGAAAATTTTTAAATACAATACCTATTATGTGCTGTAACTGTAGTTTGTACAGTACCTTGAGAAATGCAAAGTATTGTTGTGAAAGGAGGCTTGTGTTTCTCTGGGTTTTATGGTAATAGTGTCTGTTAGCAAGTTAACCCAACTTGAAATCCTCAGCAGTATCTTTTGTTGTTTTGGCTTGAAATGCTGACACTCAGAACTTGTGAAATACCTTGTACTGCAAATACAAGCAATTTTATCCTAATATCTATCTGTCCCTTCCTTCAGGCAAATCCTGACCCAAATTGTTGTCTTGGCGTGTTTGGATTGAGTCTGTACACCACAGAAAGAGATCTGAGAGAAGTTTTCTCCAAGTATGGTCCAATTGCTGATGTTTCCATTGTGTACGACCAGCAGTCTCGACGTTCAAGAGGATTTGCATTTGTGTACTTCGAAAACGTTGAGGATGCTAAGGAAGTAGGTTGGAGTAGAGAACATATGGCATGTTGGATGTGTTCTCAGTTGCTGGGATGTATGTTCTGTAACAGGATATAGCCCAGGGAAACTCACTCTTTGTCCTTGAAAATGGTACAGGAACCTTTAAAGTTAATTCCTTTTGGCTATATGAAATAATCATAATGCAAGCTAATCCACACCATCTTCTCTTCCCTGCCTTCTCAGGGCTTAAAAAATACCTGGCACCTCATAATAAGAGTCTTAGTTCAAAAGGTAACTACTGTGTATCAAAGGAGAGTGTGGAGAATGATTGCTGGTCCCCGTGCAGCCTGAGCTGTTTTGTAATTCACAAAAGCAAACTTCAGGCCAGTGATAGAGCTGACTATGCCAACAAGAAAAAAAAAAAATAGAAACACAGGCTTTCTGGTTTAATTATGAGATGAGAATTCCTCCTTAACTCCACGTGTGATCTTATATTTAATGACAGGCATGTTCCAAGGGGACCAGGCTGTCGTTTCAGAGTTCTCTGTAGGAGCTAATGTGTGTTCTGCTGACTTCTAGTGCGTCAGTCTGAAAGGGGACAGGGCATCTCTTCTGAAAATAAAAGGCCAAGCAGATGTACAGTGGCTTCCTGGTCCTTGCAGGTGACCATGGGAAACCCTAAGGGATTCAGTAACTTAGTGTTAGTACCCTATAACAAATTATGGGATTTGTGCTTATAAGTGCTACAGAATGAACAGGGAGTTCTATACTCCCCACATATAGAAGTCTACACTCAGGCCAGCCTTCGGAGAGCAGTGTGCTTATGGACTGTAATTAGATTTGTATTCTGCATAAATTGCACTACTTAAAGTCTCTAGTGTCTTCTTTTCCAAATTTGGCTTGAAGACTTCCCTGTTAGGTTGGAACTTTGGATGTAGGTCCTGCTACTTGACAGAAAAAAAAAAAAAAACAATTATTTTGATTTTTTTTTACTTCAGTTTTACTTATGACTGAGATACTACTATATTCAAGATTGTGGTAGTTTCTGAGGATGTACTGGTGGAAAAAAAAAATTAACAGTGCTTTTCTGTTAACCTCTAAAAGCTTTGTTTTGTGTAAGTTATATTTCCTTCCATAAGCATGTTCAAAGGTTCCTCTTAACCATGTTAGAAACAGGTACTGAAACAATTGTTCAGTTATGTTCCTTTCAAGCTTTTTGTGCAATAATGTTAGAAACAGGTACTGAAACAATTGTTCAATTATGTTCCTTTCAGGCTTTTTGTGCAATGTAAGTCACATTTTAAATGGTTACTGAAGCTTATATCCAGCTAGTCTTAGAATTTAGTACGTGCATCATAACTGAGCCCTTTTAGGACTTCTCTTAATTCTTGAAGCAGTGATTAGAAACTTGTGTTGGTAATAAAGTTCATACCTACGAGCTAATTGTATTTTACTATTCTATTTAGGCAAAGGAACGTGCCAATGGAATGGAGCTGGATGGAAGAAGGATTCGGGTAGACTTCTCCATAACAAAAAGACCTCACACACCTACCCCTGGCATCTATATGGGAAGACCCACTTAGTAAGTTACCTGCATAGTTTGTGGTTTTTTTTTTTTTTCCAAACCAGTACGGGTTAGGATTAGTGGTGTCCTGTGTCTAAGAGACGTAGTTCTGGGTGGTTTTCCTAGTTTGTCTGGCTTTTGTATTAATGCACTGTTCTGAAAGCTGATCACTTGCTTCTGACTTGTGTGCTGTGCAGTGTGTGGATGTTTCAGTACTAGAAACAAAAATACAAAAATCAGCCTTGATGCCAAATTATTTGTTTTTTTTTTTTTTTTTAAAAAAAGTCTCCTTAACAAGAGCTGTGCCAACACTGATGTGCTTATCTGGCAAAGCTTCTGAAAACTAAAAACCTCAATAAAGGAGGCTCTTCAGAATTAAAAGAAAAGACTCCATGTGGACAGCTCATTAACAAATGAGTTGAGCAGCTGTGTGGCACAGTTTGCCCTATCCACAGAGTACACTTTTTGACTTAAAGTTGCAAAGAATGTGTGTTATTCTCCTTGTCATTTCCCAGTCGTTTTCCCAGGACTTTCAGTTTATGGTACTGGTAGTTATGTAGTTGAGGTTGTGTTGAGATTGCAGGTTATTTTTTTTTTTTAATGAGAAAGTTCTTCCAAAAGGAGCTCTCTGAGAGTTAAAAGTGAATGAAGAGTTGTCAGAGAATGGAATTCCTCATGTGCCTGTGATAACAAAAGGTTAAGAGGTTTCAGACCAAGGAGGAAGGTAGCTGTCTTAAAGTTCAAGCATTTTAAAAAGCAGTTATTCAAGTAGTTCTGTTCTGATGGGAAAGTAGGAGCGTTCACAGTCATTTCAACTGTGAGGACGCGAGGTAATGATGTAACCCAGTTAAAATGGTGTGTGCTTGACTGACTGTATGCCTCCTGAAAAGCAGTGCAAACCAAATGAAATATAAAACATGAATAAAATGTAATTCTCTTTCGCTCCTTGCAGTGGCAGCTCGCGACGACGAGATTACTACGACAGAGGATATGATAGAGGGTATGATGATCGTGACTATTACAGCAGATCATACAGGTGAGGCGATGTTTGTAATATTCAACTGCTTTTCTACCTGTAGAAATACATTTCTACCTATATAAGTGTTAAAACAGCTCATCCTATATACTTATGCCACATTATTTTTGCACTCACTGTCATTCTGGACTCTTACTACGAAATCTTTACCAGAATGATTGCTCAGTATGGGTCAGATTGAGAAATATTTTGTAATGTTTAACCTGTGGCATGAGTTGGTCCATAAAGCTTTTTAAATCTGCATGAAGTTTGGAAAAACAAAGTATGTTCTCTATAGTGTTGTTTTAAAAGAAACCTTTGTTGGGTCATCTGTTAGCATTGAAATGGTTGGAACACAGGTGCAGATCCAATATTTGAGTTGGTATTGTAGTGCTTACTTAAATTTTGAGCATAGTGTAGTAGACAGAAAGGGGAAATTTCAGTGGTCCCTTTTAGTGGTATCCCTTACTAATAATTTTGGCACCTCAAATGTTCCCAGAAACGAGGAATCAGGAATTGGAACACTACCTGTTCTGTATTGGACATTTGCATAAAAAAGCTTTTTTTAACATACTCCATCAGGTTGGATGTGTGTGTTTTACTTGAAGGACTCGCCTCCTATTTCTGTCTGTCTTCTGTCTAAACTTCTGTGTTTGACAGCATAATAATTATCTGAAAGAGGTGAATATTCAGGTGGCAATATACATTGTCAGAGAGCTAGTAAAGTTGAAAAAAAACCTGTTGAAAACATGACTGGTATGTAATTGGGTTTGGTGATAGAGCAAGTTTGTCTTCTGCGTTTTCCATTAAGACTGCCAAGAAGACTTGCCCCCTGTGAAATCCTCACAATTTCTGGGATGCTAAGTTGGACACAAAAATAAGAGTTCCATTTTTTGTGTCTGCAGTTACCAAACTGTTCCTGTATTTGCAGAATTCTAGAGTGATAACATCCTAAGTAGTTTGCAAAGCTTCAGTGTGTCAGTGATGGGTGGATTTTTGATTGTTCCCTGACAGCAACTGTGTATTCATGGAAATACTGTCTCCTACTGGTTTCAGCCACTGTTACTCCTTCCCAGGCTGTTGGCTTTGCTTCCAACGTGTTTCTCCCCTCCTTGCCTTGTCCTTGTCACTTAAATCAGCTCCCTTGCTTCTACAGTGCTTCAGTGCTGCTGGGGACACAGAGGGGACCAAGGTGCTCTACATCACCCCAGTGAACACAGGAGACACAAGTGTTATGCTCTCATTTTTGGGAAGCAGTCGTTAGGGTGCTTCTCCGCCTCCAACAGTCCTCCAGCAATCTTGAAACATCAGTGGCTTGAATATTTTGGATAACTGTAGGGGCTAAAACCCGAAGTTGATACTCGGCATACGAAAAGCAAGACATGTTGGGTTTTATCTCATAGAATAATGGAATGGTTTGGGTTGGAAGGGACCTCAAAGAACATCTAGTTCCAACCCCCCTGCCATGGGCAGGGACACCTTCCACTACACCAGGTTGCTCAAAGCCTCATCCAACCTGGCCTTGAACACTGCCAGGGATGGGGCAGCCACAGCTTCTCTGGGCAACCTGTGCCAGTGCCTCACCACCCTCTGAGTGAAAAATTTCTTCCTCATATCTAATGGAAATCTGCCCTCTGTCAGTTTAAAGCCATTGCCCCTTGTCCTATCACTACACACCCTTGTCCAAAGTCCCTCTCCAACTTTCCTGTAGGCCCCCTTTAGGTACTGGAAGGCTGCAATAAGATCACCCGGAGCCTTCTCTTCTCCAGGCTGAACAGCCCCAACTCTCTCAGCCTGTCTCCATAGCAGAGGTGCTCCAGCTTTCGGATCATCTCCGTGGCCTCCTCTGGACCTGCTTCAGCAGCTCCATGTCCTTCTGATGTTGGGGACCCCAGAGCTGAACACAGCACTGCAGGGGGGTCTCAGGAGAGCAGAGCAGAGGGGCAGAATCCCCTCCCTCGCCCTGCTGCCCACACTGCTTTGGATGCAGCCCAGGACACCGTTGGCTTTCTGGGCTGCCAGCGCATGGTGCCAGCTCATGGTGAGCTGCCAGCACTTGTATGTAGGTTTTCAGATGTAGTAGGTGGCTCTTCGACCAAACTTCCAGTTTGTTTCAGAAACTTTGCTGGGGATAGTTAACATAGCCTCGTCTCACTTGATTTTGGTTAATTAACTGAAGCAGCTCACCAGAGCATTGGGGAACAGATAAGACTTGCAGCATAGCCTGTGGAGGAGTCTTTTTACGTGGTGCTTCTCGCTTGCTCCCACTTAATCTTTTTTTTTTTTTGTATGAGGTTCTGATGTAAACCTCTCAAAATGGCAAAGGCACCTAAGGACCAGTAAAAGATGGGGGCCTGTGCAGTGTTTTTTAGGAGTTTTACACTACTGGTCTTTCCTCTTGCACTTCTTCATAGTGCAGACTTCCCTTTTCGTTCATAAAAGCTCAGTCAGGGTGTACTGGTGGTTCTTGAAATCTGTTGTTTGTTGCTTGAGTGTTCTTAAAATGTCATTTATTCCTTGTTCGGATTATGGCATGACCCTGAGTCTTTGGTGCTTAAGTGTTAAGCTTTTTCATTCCTGATAGCAAACAGTGGCTCAGATGTTTGTAGAACGTTCTCAGAAGCTGTAATTACATGAGGTCTGGGTGCATGCTGGTGAGAGTGGTTGCAGACTGTGAGAGTGACTGAACGTAAGAGTACGTGCATTAGATGAGGAAGAGGAGACTAGTAAGAGGTGATGTGAGAAGCTGGACTTACTTCAGTCAGTGCTCTGGTCCCAGTGTAGCCCATCAGAATTCGTGGCCGTGCTTCGCTCTGGCTCTTTGAGGCAGTCACGTGCTGGGCAATGTTCTGACCTTCCTACACACACCCTCCCATCCTGTGTCCTGTTGTGAACTAGGGCTTTGGGCTGGAAACACTCACAATATTGACTGTTCCAGCAAGGGGGATTTCCATTTCCTAGCTTTAAAGAAAAAAAATAAAGCCCTCAAAAAAAAAAAAAACCAAACCCAACCAACCAACAAAAACAACCCAACCAACCCAAACCAAAAAAACAACCACAAAACTGAAAAAAGACCACACCCCAATGTTTTTAAAGCTCCCTGCAGAACCTTTATAATGTCTTTTCATAGAAGATATTGAAAGAATTAAAGTAAGCTGTGTGTGGCTACTTTAAAAACATTATGGTCTGCCCAGTTTAGATACCTACTTCCTCATCCTGCAGGTACTGGTCGTTTGAGAGAGGGACAGGAACAGTGTTGTGTATGCCATGAGTGCTTCCTTGAGGAAGGGAGAGTTGGAATTGTTAAAGATGCAGTGGAGCATGGCATACTGGTAATCCACCCTAGAAAATTAATTGGTAACAATTCCTTTGCCTTTCTTTCCCTCTTGTGCGCTGAAGCCTTAAGGGAAATACGATTTTAGATGGGAATTGTCATGTGGAAACTTTGCATTTCTCCTTATTCCTGTGGGATGCTTCATCTTGGCTGGAAAAGTATCTGTAAACCGAAGAGTAACCTTAAAAAAAAAAAAAAAAAGAAACCCAACTTGCACACTGACTATCTACCAAATAGATTTTAAAATAGTAAATAAACAAAGTTGTACCACAGTTCTTAAATGCCCTTCTTTAAACATGATTATGAAGTGTTAAAAAGTAAGGATGTTGTTTTTTTTTGTGTAGGAACCGATGTTTTCTTGTCTTCACGTCGTTTTCTTACGATGCTTTTTGCTTGTACAATGCATGATTATGAAGTGTTAAAAAGTAAGGATGTGGGTTTTTTTGTGTAGGAACCAATGTTTTCTTGCCTTGACGTTGTTTTCTTACGATGCTTTTTGCTTGTACAATAACTTTTTGTTGGTTTTGAAAATTTTCAAAAATCGTTCTGCTTTTGTATTCACAGAGGAGGTGGCGGTGGCGGAGGAGGAGGATGGAGAGCTGTTCAAGACAGGGATCAGTTTTACAGGTACGGTAGGAACACTTTCAGTGTCTGGTCAACAGTGGAAATATTTTTCCACGTTATTTTTTGAGTATTCCATGAATCAAGCCTAGGATATCTTTAAATACATGAACAGAAACGGGGCTGTGAGCAGTGCAGTTCATTTCCAAGGTTCCTTCTTGGCTGTGTGAAGGGATGAGGTTACTCTAGGGACCAGGTTAGTGCAGCTTTGCAAAAAACCACAAACTTCTGCTGTATGCTGGAAGCTAATGTCCTGAATGTTTGGGGTTTTTTTTGTTTATTTATTAGGAGATTAGTGGAACTGGGCAAATGCAAAACTTAGGAGTGCGTGGATTGGAGGGGTTTGGGGTCGGTTGTAGCAGGGACTGCTACTCAAATCGGCTCCTTATCTTGGAACAAATAATTTAGATGCAAAGTTAAGGTGTGATTTGGCTGATGTGGCTTGTTTGGGATGCTCGTGGCTTGAAATTTTGAATGCAAGGGAGCTTATGTTTCTTTTATTAGTCCAAAGGACTATTTCTCTGACCTGGTAGGAAGGAAAGCATTAAGAAAAGCCACATCTTTGCTTTGTTACGCAGCAGAAATGTTGATCAGCTCTTTCTGTGCTCGCTGACTTTCTCAAGCACGCTCTTGATACTGGGATGGGGTTTAGAGGTATCCACGTAAAGCTGCTGCTGCTCATCCACCACAGGCTTTAACGAAGGGATTGTTTCTCTTGCCCTCTTTCCCAGGAGGAGATCCCCGTCCCCATACTACAGCCGAGGGGGCTACAGATCTCGGTCCAGATCTCGATCCTATTCACCTCGTAAGTAGTCTCGGAGCTTGTGCATCAAAAGCAAATTCCCACTTTGCCTGAACAGCTTCTCCTGAACTTTTGTGTCCATAACCACATTCCCACTTCTGAACTTGTGTGTCCGTACAGACTATTCAACTTCGGTGCGGTTATTTTTCTTTTTCTTTTTGGAACCACAGTTCCCTTTAATGTTTCATTGAGCAACTGGTAACCTTGAGGACAGAGCAAATATTTAGTTTGCAAAAAAAATAAACTAGATAATACCACTTGGTTAAATTAAAAGTCTGAGGCACCGTTTCTTCTAAACGCTGTTAAAACAGGAGTTTGTAGAACGTTAACAACTGGGTTCCCTCTGGGATAGCAAGGCTATCTAAAAAAAAACCCACACCACCATCTGTCAATCCTTGGAAGTCTAACAACGTATATATTTTTGTTTTTTCTTTCTTTCAGGTCGCTATTAAAGCATGACGTGTAGAGGAATTTCTAGCTACAGCCTTTGAGTTGAAATTGCAAGTTTGTGGACAATATTTTTTTATTGTCTCTTCTGTTGAAACAAGTGAACAGTGCCTAGTGAATAGGTGACTTTTACACCTTTTATGAAGACTACTTCTGTGACGTTCAATGCTGTTTCATTCTGCATATTTGTGTAGTTCGGTGCTTTGTTTCAAGTTGTGTTTTGAAAGGAGTATGTTTTGCATGTATTTTTTTAGTCTCAATTTTGACTCCTGAAAGGTTTCTATTGTAAAGACAAACTGTTCAGTTAGTTTTTTCTACTGATTCCGAGGTATTCTGAAGATCAAAACCTGTGTAAAATGCTTTCCAAAAGTGAAAAAAATAAAATAAAAAGGAGTTTTGTTTTTTCTTTTCCTAGTTACTTTTGCCAAGTCTGAAACTTGAGTTTTTCTTATTTCTTCACTGATGATTGTCCTTTTAACGAGCAC